TTTTTTCTTTTCTGTCGCCCTTTGCCTTCCTATTTCTTCTTTCCCTTTCTTTTTATCCTTTTTTTCCTCTTTTCAGAAGAAAGAAAATTTAAGTGCGCGAAAAGGTAGGAAAATCACGAATTATTATATTTTTCCAATGATATGAGATTCCGGAGGGTCGAAAAGTAGGCTCACTAAAGCGGTGGGTGCGGAGCGAGCTGGCCAGATGAAAGATGAAAAATTATAAACCGTTGTGGCGCGAAGCACATTTCCAAATTAAAATACATATATTCGGATTATTTTTGGAAATTATGACGTCGAAAAAATGTATGTCGTTATTACGCGCGAAATTTATGTCCAAATTAAAATATATGGAGCATATCAGGATCGGACCATTTTTGGAAGTTATGATATCGAAAAAATGTTCATTATTGTGGTGCGAAATATATTTCAAAATTAATATTTATAAAATATGATATTTTCATATTATTTTTGGATGTTAAAACATTATTTTGCGTGGTAGGCGCAGGGAATTATCTTTCTTGTTAAAAATAAGCAAAATATAATTATCTTTACCTAATTTTATTTATAACCATTGTATTCCATTGCACTACATTATATTTTATAATTATCACTACAACTAAAACTACACTACATTACCCTACACTACACTAATTACATTACACTACACGAAATCGAAATCAAAATATATAAAATACCCCATTCCCGGAACACTTTTTGAAATTAGTATGTAATTTTGTCTGCCAGATTTAAGAAATTTTGTATCTTGCCAAAAATAAGCATAATCTCAATTTTTTCTAATATTTCCAAAAATGATGGTAGACATGGATCATCTGAAAAGGATCGTGGCAGGCGCAGGACAAGAGATATATTTATCAGAGTTGTTAGGAGGTCCGGGTGCTGATTTCCTCAGAAGAATTGTATTTTGGAATATCAAAATTTCAAATTTATTTAGATAATTTTATATGCCAATATTTCATATAATCTGGTGGAAGGAAAAATATTTTAAACAAATAAAGTGGAAAAATCGCAAAATATATTGGTACGAGGCGGTCAGCTCTGCATTCAAATTTTTATTTTTGAAATAAATTTCGTAAAATTATTTCGTTTTTAATTTATTAATTTCGAAAATTAAGGAAATTTCGCAGAAATATTTCGTTTTTAATATTATTAAATTCAAATTAAGAAAATCCGATAGAATATATAATTCTATTTTCAAATTTATAAATAAATAAAATATTATAATTATAATAATTATAAATATTATTATATTATATTATATTATTATTATTATTTCAAAAATAAATATATTAGATTATATTATATTACATTATTTTCATTACATATTTTCTCTATATTAATTATATTTAATTATACTACACTACATCAATTACACTAACAACTACAACAACAACAACAACTACTACTACCACAACTCCAACTACAATCACAACTACACTACAATAATTACACTGCAACATACTACAACAACAACAACAACTACTACTACCACAACTCCAACTACAATCACAACTACACTACAATAATTACACTGCAACATACTATAACTACAAAAATAATTATAATTAAAATCATATTATATTATATTAATTATATTAATTATATTAATTATATTAATTATATTAATTATATTAATTATATTATATTATATTATATTATATTTATAATTCCAATTATATTTATAATTACAATTATAATTACCACTACATTTTATTACATTACACTACACTATACCACACTACACTACACTACCACGATTACAATTACAACAACAATTAAATTAATTGTTCTATATAATTTATTATATTATAATAATTATAATTAAATTTACAATTCTATTCTATCATATTATATAAAAAAAAAATTAAAAATCATTATAATCGATTATAATCAATTCAAAAAATATAATTCCAATTCCAATTACCTTCCAAATCAAAAAAAAACATTTTACTATCTCGAATTCGTAATAATTAATTTACCCTAATTTTTTTTTTTAAAAAAAAATCCATCATTATATTATACGATATTATTTATAAATTCAATAAATTTTAGTTATATTAAATATATAAAATATAATATATATATATTAGAATTAAAATTTTAAAAAAATAATATTATAAATTATTAATATCAATAATTATAATTTATATATAATATATATATATATTATTATATATAATATATAAAATTAATAAATATAAATTTATTTTTATTATTAATATAAAATTAATTAATATATATATATAATATATATAAATTATCAAAAAATATATTTAAATATATATTTTATTTTATAATCAAAATTATATATTTTAATATTATAAATGTTCAAAATAAATTTATTTCCATATCTAAATTTAAAATTTATAAAATAAAAATATATATATATATAAATTTATATTATATAATTTATTTAATAATTAAAACATAAATTTATTTATATTTTAATTTTATTATATTATCTTATATTAAAAATATATTATAAATTTCATTTTTTTTTTATTAGCAATATTTAATTTTATGTTTTTTAAATTTAATTTTAATTCGATAAGAATATCAAAATATATCATTGTTTAATATTATCCAATTAATTTTAAATTAATCCGATAATAATTTATTCAATATATTTTAAATATTTTAAATTAATCGAAAAATAAATATTCAAAATTAGTCGGATCCTCAATACCATCTGCAGTTAAGCCGCTAACCTCTGGAACCTCTAGAATCCTCTAGAACCACCCCGGCACAACGAACGTTGGCCTGAGCTAAAAACCCCCAAGCTGACAAATGCTCTTGGGGAACGGTGTATGTTTGGTCCAAGTGACATGTTTTTCTGATTCTGTTTCGTGTTTCGTAAATCTGCCGGAAATAGCGTACAAATGTTGAAATATAGAAGGCATTTTTCTATATATATTATTATTATGTTACCTTTTCAACATGAAATGCACCTTCATTTTGTCCGTTTTATAGATTCCGACAGTTGTTGCAGTTTCTTGAATTTGACTCATAGCTTTGATGAGATCGTGTGAGCAAAGACATTAAATAAAGTACAATGAAGAATTGATCAACAATTCATTCTCAGAGATAGGCTCACCCATGAGACAAATCCATGGCGGCTGCTATCAGTAGCTTTGATTGCCAGCGTCCAATTTCCCAGAGCTGACTTTCCCTTGAATGCTGAAAGTGCCTGAAAAGGCAAGACGCATCCAACACAAGGGGTATCACTGAAAGTGCCATCTAAATCACCTCCATTCACCGTAATATGCTTGAGAATCACATCACCCAAGCCAGGGCCAATCAAGTCAATCTTCCACGATGATGTGTCCATTCCCATCGATGTGATGGTCACTTGAACTTCATCAATGGTGTATTGCTTCAATCCCGGCAATGGTGGCACCTGGATGGATACATTGAAATTGCCCATAGCTGGAGTCTCAAAGTGCAGTGGTGTCACCACCCACGGCTTCTGGCAGAAGTTGCAAGGGCCGCAAGTAGCGAGGCATCCGCAGTCCGCTGCTGTTGCCAACTTTGACATTGGTGCATTGCAGCAAGCATCCTGGCAATGTGCACAGTCCATCTCATATCTGGCAAGTGGAGTGTTGTTGAAGGTGACATTGGCTGGTGTGTTGCCGTACGTCGTGTGCTGGGTGACATTGGAGAAATGCACGTCAGGGTGAAAGTCCCAATTCACACAATTCATTCTCAGGGACAGGCTCACCCACGATACAAATCCAATGCGGCTGCTTTCAGCAGCTTTGATTGCCAGCGTCCAATTTCCTAGAGCTGACTTTCCCTCGAATGCTGAAAGTGCCTGAAAAGGCAAGACGCATCCAACACAAGGAGTATCACTGAAAGTGCCATCTAAATCACCTCCATTCACTGTAATTTGTTTGATAATCACATCACCCAAGCCAGGGCCAATCAAGTCAATCTTCCACGATGATGTGTCCATTCCCATCGATGTGATGGTCACTTGAACTTGATTGATGATGTATTGCTGCAATCCCGGCAATGGTGGCACCTGGATGGATACATTGAAATTGCCCATAGCTGGAATCTCAAAGTGCTGTGGTGTCACCACCCACGGCTTTCGACAGAAGTTGCAAGGGCCGCAAGTAGCGAGGCATCCGCACTCCGCTGCTGTTGCCAAATTTGACAATGGTGAATTGCAGCAAGCATCCTGGCAATGTGCACAGTCCATCTCATATCTGGCAAGTGGAGTGTTGTTGAAGGTGACATTGGCTGGTGTGTTGCCGTACGTCGTGTGCTGGGTGACATTGGAGAAATGCACGTCAGGGTGAAAGTCCCAATACACACAATTCATTTTCAGAGACAGGCTCACCCACGAAACAAATCCATGACGGCTGCTGTTAGAAGCTTTGATTGCCAGCGTCCAATTTCCTAGAGCTGACTTTCCCTTGAATGCTGAAAGCGCCCGAAAAGGCAAGACGCATCCAACACAAGGAGTATCACTGAAAGTAAAGTCCAAATCACCTCCATTCACTGTGTACTCTTTGAGAGTAACATTGCCCGAGGCAGGGCCAATCAAGTCAATCTTCCACGATGATGTGTCGATTCCCATCGATGTGATGGTCACTTGAACTTCATCAATGGTGTATTGCTTCAATCCCGGCAATGGTGGCACCTGGATGGATACATTGAAATTGCCCATAGCTGGAGTCTCAAAGTGCAGTGGTGTCACCACCCACGGCTTCTGGCAGAAGTTGCAAGGGCCGCAAGTAGCGAGGCATCCGCAGTCCGCTGCTGTTGCCAAATTTGACAATGCTGCATTGCAGCAAACACTGTGGCAATGTGCACAGTCCATCTGATACCCGGCGGGTACAGTGCCATTCTGGCTGACGTTGGAGAAATGCACATCGGGGTTAAAGTCCCACGTCGCATTGCCAGTCCCGGAGCTGGTGCTGGGGCTCTGCTTGGCCATCTGCATCAGGCTACTACCATCAGGGACTTGGTCAGCATGGACAAAATGAAGGAGACACGCTAGGAAGGCGGAGAGAAGAACCATACCTCGGGTGTGGAATCAACTCAGCAAAAGGACCATGCTACTCCTTGGTTAAAAGATGTTAAAAGTTGGAGGTTTCAACTACACCAACTGTCATGCAATGGATTCATAGCTACCACCAACTCCCACCAATTCCCACAAACTACCACCATCACCAACTCCCGAAAGTGGCTTTGTCCCATTTTTTAGGCCTATCTCCTCAATGTTACATCATGTTACATCATTTCGTTTTCGTATATAAATGATAATGTCAACAGCATGAAATTTGGGGTTGTCCCATGTTGTCCCATCATCAGGTACCAAACCCTGGTGCCGAGGCTGCCGAGGTACCCAGAACTCGCTGAATTGAGCATTGAAGGTTCGGTATACGTCGATCGGGTTCTCTGAGCCACAACAGCCCGGGTGCGGCCAACGGGTGCGGCGCTCAAGAGACAGCGTGCTGATGCTATAAACTGATGGATGATGACTCCAGGTACTTCACTTTGTGCCTCAAGTGGCCTTAAATGTTTTTGTTGCTGATCGGGAGCAATCTGTGGCAATCCATGCGGCACTTACAGCCTCTCGCAACATTTTGCTGTGATCAGACGCTTTCCAAGTGGATCTGGCTCAAAAGACTTGAACATGTTTGATTAAACAGAAAGTGCCAGCTGGAATTTATAGTAAGTCATCAAAAAAGAATTACTTTACTTCGAGTTATCCGCACCATGACATCTATACGTTTTGTTACTGGCAAATCTTCTGGCATTCTATCTGACATATCTTCTGGCATTTTATCTGGCATATCTTCTGGCATTCTATCTGGCATATCTTCTGGCATTCTACCTGGCATATCTTCTGCAATATGTTCTGGCATATCTTCTGACATTCTATCTGGCATTCTATCTGGCAAATCTTCTGGCATATGTTCTGGCAAACATTCTGGCACTTTATCTGGCATACCTTCTGGCATTCTATCTGGCATATCTTCTGGCATTTTATCTGGCATATCTTCTGGCATTCTATCTGGCATATCTTCTGGCATTCTATCTGGCATATCTTCTGGCATATCTTCTGGCATTCTATCTGGACATTCTATCATTCTATCTGGCATATGGCATTCTGGCCTATCTGGGCATTCTATCTGGCACATCTTCTGGCATATCTTCTGACATTCTATCTGGCATTCTATCTGGCATCTCTGGCATTCTATCTGGCATATCATTCTATCTGGCATATCTTCTGGCATCTGGCATTCTATCTGGCATATCTTCTGGCATTCTATCTGGCATATCTTCTGGCATTTTATCTGGCATATCTTCTGGCATTCTATCTGACATGCTATCTGGCGTTCTATCTGGCATATCTTCTGGCATTCTATCTGGCCGTTGAGGGCCAGCGGTGCTCACTGAGCTCGGAGGGTCCCAGGTTGAGGTCCAGCGGTGCTCACTGAGCTCGGAGGGTCCCAGGTTGAGGTCCAGCGGTGCTCACTGAGCTCGGACGGTCCCAGGTTGAGGTCCAGCGGTGCTCAGTGCGCTCAGACCCTTGCAGTTGAGGTCCAGCAGTGCCCACTGCGTGCGGAAGTTGGCGAAGAGCTTGGCGAAGAGTTGGCAAGGCGGAAGTGAACATGGAAGTGGAGGCAGAGGTGGTGGAGGAGAAGGAGGAGGATGAGGAGGAGGTGGAGGAGAAGGAGGAGGAGAAGAAGAAGAAGAAGAAGGAGAAGAACAACCCTGATAAAATCTAACAACCCTCACCTGGCAGGTGGGGAACTACAAATCTTTGCACTTATGGCTTTGAGATCCAGATTTCCATGGCTTTCCATGGCTTTCTCTCTCAAGAAATCGTTCCACGAGGATTTTTTGAGCCACACCCTGCACTACTTTGGCCTCACTCCGAGTCCACAGGTGCCTCGGCTGCTTGATGTAACAAGACTCCGTTAGGAGCCTAGGGTTTTGGAGGGTTCGGAGCTATGATTTAAGATGAGACAATCCTAACCTCCATTCCTACCAAGTTAATCCAAGGTATCGTATGTTAGATGGTTTTGGAGTCCTGGCTTGGAACCCTTTTTTCTTAGAAAATCCTAGGGACATCATGGGACTATCCCGGAGGTATTCATGGAGATATGAGAAAATCCTCGAACTGCTGGGGAATTTTCCAAGCCATGGTTTGGGCGTCCTTTCCCGCAAAGGATGAAAACAGATGGTCCTTGGCAGTTGGGCTTGGATATATTTCAGCATAGGAGTCGTCTCCCAACTGATGGAGATGAACATCCCATGGTCAGTTAACTCTGGTAATGATGCCTGGCTTGCTGGAAAATTGCCTCCATGGCTAGTTCGGGGACTTCCCCAGCCACATTTGATGACACCAATGGGTATTACCCTCTGGTCAACGAACATAGCTAACTGGAAAATCACCATTTATAATTGGTAGATCAAATATAAATGGTACATGTTCAATAGCTATGTAAGGGTTACAAGAGGGTACTCAATAGTACTCAATATTCCAATCATATCCCATTAACATCTTCCATGATATCCCCTTTCATGGTTCAAATGTCTATATGATGGTTGATCAAAATTCCTTTATCCGGGAACGGCCATTCTTCGCGAATAAAAACTCCAAAAACAAGGACCTTTAGATCGATTACCATATGGGATATCAGGAAACCATATCAGTACATGGTTAAATCATGTTAAATCCCTCCGGATCAACCCCTGACCTTGGCAGACTTGGCTGCATCCTGAGCGGTGCTCGTTTTTTTAGCGGCCTAGCCTTGGAGGTTTAGTTCGATGGAAAACCATGAACCATGGGAAAATCAATGAGAAAATCATGGAGAAACCCATATCCATAGGATCCATGGTGCTGCTATATATGGTAACATGGATCCCATCAATATACCCCCAATGTTAGCATATATACCATGCATGGATCCTATGGGATATAATGCTATAAATGAAGGTATGAATGGGAAAATCATCGAACTATAGCTGGGGGGAATTGTTTTTTTTGACATGTTTGATTTCCAAAGGATATGTTTAGTTGAGGAAAACCACAGCGACAGGAAGCTGGCCTGCTGGAAAGGTGTTGGTTTCAGAACTTGAGACAGCCACATCCGAAGGATTTGTCGCCAAACACCCTCTTCTTTAAGATTGAATCACCCACCATCAGCCATTTAAAAAATGTTCCATTGCACTGAATCAACATGAATAAACACTGTTCTAATGGTGGTGAGTCATCTCCATTCCACTCTTATTGCTTGTTTCCATGACATTGTTTCATTTCCATTCTGATAATCAAACGTGGTTTGCTGAAAAATCCACCATTTATGTCGACTGTTTTCCCGGCGAACTGAACCTCCATTTAGTTACGAACTGTTCGTGGATGTTCCCATATTTTCTGATGATTTTCCCATCCACCATGGCTAGTTCAGGGGCTTCCCAGCCACGTTTGATGACACCAAAGGGTATTAATTACTCAATAGTACTCGGTATCCCATTAATATCCCCCGTGATGTCCCCATAGAAATTCCACTTTTGCATACCATCATTTTAGGTTTAAATTTCTAGTTATACAGTTAATTATACGAAGATGTGATATTCCGAAACCATAAGATGCCATAAGTTCATGGTCAAATCCCGTGAAATCTCGGGCTGTCTCCTCACGAAGCTTCTGAAGCTGCTCCTGGTACAAAAGGTTGATATGTATATAGCGTATATAAATATATACATGTAATGTAATTATATTCCACAATATAAGGCTGTAAGATTCTATATATATATAACATAATGTATATATATATATATATGTATTTACGTCGCGTACAAACTGTAGATATGTATCATTTTAATGGCACAGGCCGTCACAGGCAGTCAATACCATTTGGAACCTAGTGAACCAACCTCTCGCAGTCAGCTCCTCATGCACCTTGCGCCTCTCTTCCAACCACGCTGTGATGTTTGCTGCGGCCTCCTTGTGGCGGCCAAATCACCACGATGTGGGTCCGGATGTGGAACCAGGAAGCCATGTCAAGGTAGTATCTCATAACTATCCCAGACTCATCACTCAACCAGTTACAACTAGTTCCTGGAAGTGGATCTCACGTGTGGACTATGCTGGACTGCCTCTGGTTTGTTCTTGAAAAACATGAAGTAGCCTGCAGCATTGGCGCCGGTGGGATGTGACAACCAAAGAGGTGGTGGGAAGGATCTGCCATTCTTCCCCAAGTCATACCATTGAAAATCTCCCAACCTCGCTACTTAGGCTGTCAGTCGTTGTAATTTAAGGCTCACCGCAACCGCACAAACGCAATGACAAAGTCAAAGCTGAAAAAAACTGGTCACGTACTAGTACTTGCCCATGGAAATAATAGGCAACTCGTCTACTTTCATGGGCCATCTATACTCTATATATATATATACCATTTTATGAGGGTTTATCCCAAGTTCTATTCATAAAATCACCATTAGTAAAATTCGATTAAATTCTATTAAATCCATTCTATAAATCCCAATCCTATTAATTCCTAGATAAATCCGAAATAAATCCTCTGAGATCCTATTAATTCCTATGTAAATCCTATATAAATCCAGAGGGTACCTTCCATCCTTCCCGAGCTTCGGGGCTTCGGAGCTTCGGAGCTTCGGGGCCTTGGAGCTCGGCCATACTGAGCCCCTCATCCTGCGGCATTCTGTTATCCATGGTTGTAATTCAAGATGCTGTGGAATATATATATACACCATATATCATATATGATATCTAGATATGATATATCATATATCATATATGATATCTATATATGATGTATCATATATCATATCTATATATATCATATCTATATATGATATCTATATATGATATCTATATATACATATATGCCTCATCCCAGCTCTCCGGTCCTCACAGACTGTGGCAAAGGTCTCGGACAAGTCCTGAATAAAATCCACCAACTCGGGAGCGACATTTGGATGTTTGAAACCCATTGAAACCCTATAGATAATGGGATAAATCCATAGAAAATGATACATTTGTACATGATTTACCATATTTACCTACTGTGGATGGTTGCAAAATCCTGCACCACCTGGGATGGTAGAAAGATGTTGAAACCCTATAAATCCTGGGATGTTGACTACGTCAAAAATCAACAGGTGATTCAGATTTCTGCCCAAAATCCACCGTTTCTGCCGAAAAATCTGGAAACCCACAGGAAACCCACAGGAAACCCACAGGAAACCCATAGGAAACCCATAGGAAACCCATACCAGGTGACCAGTTGACCATCGCACAAACAGTTCTAGACTCTCCTAGACACCCCAGGTCTAAGTTTCATCTCCAGCCATCTGTGTTTTGTTCGCAGATCACCCATGGCCCGAATTCAGCTCCTCTTCGCCGGGAAAAAAGCGCAGGTACATGGCCTTGAGCTGTGACCTGGCCAGGCGATGTTCATCCTCTCGGTGTTGTGTCAGTGTTCGTGTTCGCCGCTTGATGTCAGATGAAACAAATAGTGATGTTAAAAGATGTTCTGCTAGTATTTGAGATATTATGATATTATACAATAGATGTTTTATTGTTGAGTTTGGATGTATTACACTCCATTTCATCCTGCTTAGTTGCGTTTTTGAATTCACAGTTCATCGGTGACGAGAATCCCAATGGGTTGAATAGATTTGGATCGTATACTGGTACTCAAATGTCGAGTGCTGGAAAATCCCCCAGCTATAGTTCGATGATTTCTAAACTTCCATTTCCGAAATTCGATGATTTCTAGAAAATTTCACAATTTCTAGAGATTTTCCAATAGGATTTCTAGAAAACTTTAACCATTCCTATAGATTTTCCATTTTCGAATGTCTCAGCCACGTTAACTGGACACAGGTCCCACTGGTAAACGCCTCACCCACGGTTGATTGAACCGTCGGTGGCCTGGATGCTAATCCAATGTAGACCGACAGATCCACGCGGCCTGGACGCACCTGGATCAAGCAATTTTTGGGATTTCCATTGTTGAAAATGCCAAGTATGGTAACAAGAGGTGATAAGTACCGATACATATGTATAATTATATATAGTTATATATATATATATATATTTACAAGTAATATAGTTGTATTATATATATATATACGTTACGAGTATTGTATATAATATAGTATAATTATGGGCTTTGACCCAGGCACAGTAACATCTTCCCCACCTGGGAAACTCACGGGTATGATCTCTTCGGACAGCTTTCTGGGCCGCCAAACCAGAGCGCGGGGAAGAGCATGGTAATGGTTGGTGGTCATGAAAATCACGCGTTCCTTGCAAGGACGTACAGATTCTTTTTCGGGGAACTGCGGTCCTCTGATTTGGGGGGAATCAATGGGGAATTGTCCATTGCCATGTTTCAGTAGCGATCAATATCTGGTTGGTGGTGCAATAACCATCTTGAAAAATGATGGAGTTCGTCAATGGGAAGAATGGAAATCCATGGAAATCCCATATATTGATTGATTATGGAAAACAAAAAATGTTTGAAACCACCAACCAGATATGGATGAACCATTACATGGATTAAATATGGATGAACCATTGGATATCATTGGATGAACCATCCAAATTCTACAATCATTGATCATCCTGTCAACCGGCATACCACCCAAGTTACATCAATCCAGCGAGATACATATCTCGTGGATTTCCGAGCTAGCCATGGCTTGATTGCCACTAAAGCCAATATAAATCCCCATTAGATCTTATTATATAGCCATATATAGCCATTATAATCCATTAAACCACCATTTTTGATGGTGTTTCATCACCTTTAATTTCTTCATCCTTGGGCACTTTCCACCCTTCGAACATTTCGAGCTTTCCTCGGTGGCAATAACGCCATCCAGAGCGTTCAGCAAGCCGCTGAAGGTCACGCGCGTGACCTTCGGTGGTGAACGAGGTGATTTTTCAACATCAAAAATGGTGGGAAAATGATAGGGAAATGGTGATTTTTAGCATGGATGATGATCATAATGGGAATATACTGGGGAGTTTGTAATGGCTAGAGTGGTAATCATTCATCAATTTTTATTCTAATTTCCAGCTGATGGTGATTAATTGATTAATGGGAAATTTAGTGAATGTTAATGGGAGAAAAACCCTCTGGTGTCATCTATACCATGGCGCAGGCGCAGGGTAAATCCTGCGTGTTTGTAGTTCATGTTCCCATAACAAACCCTTCATGTATACAGGACTTTCCATTGCCACGTTTGATTAACGGAGGGCAAGTCGATTGTGTCCGGTGGATGTGTCGATTAATGGTGACGTCTTCTATGCAGCGTTTTGGCTCAGAGTACATATGTTTTGGCAGGACAGTAAGGACGCTATGGACGGCAAGGATGATGTGAAGCATGTTTTTGGTGGCCATATTAATGTATGAGTATTCATCAATTGGATGAAGGTCTTCATTATTCAATTCAGTTTTGGCTGGTGAGCCAGTCCAAGTAAGAAAAATCAGTAGCAAGTAGATTAATCAATGATTAAAACAATGAAAACAGTTTCATTGTTTTAAAAAAACATTAATCAGTTTAGAATCGTTTAAAACAATGAACAACCACAAAACAACGTCTTGGATCCTGCAGGATCCATTCCTTTTCCATGGTACCCAGGATACCCCATTTAAAATCCTCTGGTTAATCAATGGCCATTTGAATCATCATGTTCCCCACTAAATGGCCATTTTATCGGGCGGGATACCCCATTTTCAGACAGACCTAGGATTCCCTGCACCAGCGTAAGGGCCAGAAGGATCATGCGGTGTTTGCTGAGATACCGCGAAGTCCACGTCCTGCCATCGCGGGAAAAAAAAACCTACGATCTAATGGCACCTAACGTCCACTTCTATGATCATAAATGGGGTTATACCGTGTTATACCTGATTTCTAGATTTCTGGACTCATAGTTTAACAATGTTTAACATATAGCTATTGAACATCACCATGTTTGGGCACTGCAAGTTTAATCAAACTAAAGGGACCAACTCCAGTTCGCAACTCTTGGTTTACTCGAGGATAACCCAGATGCTCAGAATATCTCACTGATTTCTGGCTCCAATGGAAATGGCTTTGTCTGAAAATATGGTCCCCCAAAATATCATGGTTAATCATGGATCATGTTCTCCATTAATATGGCCATTATTTCACTTATTGGCATACTTAAGTGGTTAAGAACCCTGGTAAGCAAGTCCATTCAGTGCCTTATCCCATCAATGGATGAACTTACTATGCTTATCAACCACTTACGATCTCTGGGATGATGCTCCAAGTAGCCTCTGGTAAACTAACATGGCTATGGAAATCACCATTCTCAACAGCTAAACCATTTAGAATCATCTTTAGGTCATGGCTTCCAGAGCGAACCGTTAATTTTTTCCCATCCAGGAGATCTCAAGCAAATTTGGCTGTGGCTTCCATATAGCACAGTATTCTATAAATAACCAGAATATCTTCAGAATATCTTCAGAATATCTACAAAAAAGGTTTCCAACATATTTTTCCACACTTATCCACACTTAATATCTCTATATTCCCAGAATATAGAATATCTCTATAACTGTGGAAAAATGTAGATAGCTGTGGAGAAATATCTCCAGAATTCCCAGAAGATCTCTAGATGTTTCCACAGTTGTCGGATCCCGAAGATCTTCCCTACAATGTGAGGCCCCCGTTCGATAACTAAGTTGGTGCAAATAACTCCAATTTCACTATGGTTTATGGCAGATATAACATGATATAACTATAGTTACTGGGGCTTATTATAAACCAACAAACATCACTGGGGGGCCTCACATTGAAATTTCTCCATTTAGCAAACCTCCAAGAGGACGAGACATCGTGGTGGCACCACCGCCAGCATGTGCGCCAGCCTCGTGGGCTCGCATCTCCAAACTCCAAGGATATGTCTTTATAGGAAAAAGTAAAATCCTACGAAAATTCTGACCAACTACTTTCCTCACGTTTTTTTCTAACTTTTTTGGTGTTGGTTTTAATTTAGATGGTTCTGGAGCAATTCAGCATGATTCTAGTGTTTTCTGAGCAAACCTGACAACAGTTTTGAGCACTTGAGAAATTGGTAAGAGTAAAGTGTTCAAAAGTGACTGGTGAGTCATGAGTTCCTGAGTTCCTGATTAGGGGTTTTGCAGGTCCATATTTTTGCGTGTATCATCGTTGTTATGTGCGGGATCCATGCTGGTACATCCACTCAACTGGCGGGACGAACAGGCCTGTCATCTGTCATGCTTGGATCTCCCAGATTGAGCACACAAATGTTGTAGCCTGAGTTGTTGGCAGTGGCCAAAAGTTGCAAAAAGTGGCAAAAAGTTGCAACATGTAGCCTTAGTCACTTAGTCATCGCGAGTTGTTGGCAGCAAGTTGCGACTGATGGAGCTGCCTGGACCCCTGGATCAATGGGCTATGGTCACACCATCATGAATGGGATTCTGAAGAAGTAATTGGAAAAGCCCTATGGCAGCCTATGGCCCTATGAAAATGGGGGAGATGATCATCTTCCAATATGACAATATGACATCAAACATTGGTTGGTATTCACATCATTTACATTCATTTACATTCATTTACATTCATTTACATCATCCATAAATGTTCACCATGGCATTCATCTCTCATCCAAGCTCACCCACGGCATCCCCAGCGTCACAGCGTCAGTATGTCCGCGTCCCTTTGTGCTGTGGTTTTCCGAGTTTTCGCACCAAGTCGACCAGATAAAGCCGACACAAACGATGACCTCGTTTCCAACCATGGCCCACTGGGGATGTGGTCAGGATGGGACCAACTGGATCCAGTTGTGACTGGTCTAAGGTGGTTCCACGTGCTGTTCCACGTGCTACGCAGTGCAGGCAGCCCGGCAGCGGCAGGCATCTTTTTTTGAGTCAAATAGTTCTGGTTTTATCAAAGATGGTTGGAAAATCCACCATTTGTAGATGATTTTCCCATAGAAACATGAATTTTATAGACGATTTTCAGTGGAAGTTCTCCTGGTTCTTTTTCGTTGCGATTTCCATGGTGCCGCTTGTGCCGTGTCGCCATCATCAGCTCCCAATAGCGCAGCTTCATATTGCGCCATCACGGCAGCCTTTGTTGGGGCCATGTCATTCATCCCCAAAGTCGGCATAACTGGTGCAGTTGGTTGTAGATGTTGTAGATGTTGTAGAGGAGTGGGCGGAGTGGGGGGTGCGGGTGGCCTCATCAAGTTCGATCCAAATGATGCTTTCGCTGTGGTTCCAGGCATCGTTTGTGGCACGTGCTGCGTTCCCATGGCTTGCAGCGGTACTTGTGGCGGTCCGGCCATCGCGTGTGGCTGTGAAAATGGCATCCGTATGGCTTGTGGTCTTTGCATAGCCGCTTGTGCTGGCATTGGAGGGCTTGCTTGCAACGCTGGCTTTGGCGTCGCAGCTTGCATGACTGGCATTGGTGCTGCTTGCGATGCTTGTGATATTGGCGCAGACACATCTACGGTTTTAATGAAGTTGTTTATTTTATCCAGAAATGAAGCTGTAGAGCTTTGGTCCACGTCTTTCAGATGACTTGGCAGCTCTGGAAGCATACTCTTCAACGACTGAATCGCATTGTCAACCTCCTGAGGCTCATGGATGTTACATTAACATACATTAACCAGGGCACAAGGCCACAAGGCCTGAAGATATGTCATCCAAATCAAACTCCCTGGTAGTCTAAAGTCACCCAAAAACATGGCGGAGTGTCTGAAAATGGGGTATGTCAAATTTCTGGCCATCAAATCGTAGCGAAAAAACATGAAATTTAGGGGGTCCCCATCATTTTTCAGGTATCACAACAAGCAAATTCCAAAGAAATTGCAGGGAAGCTTCCACACTTGCGGCTATGGATAGATTCGCTGGTGCCTCCAGGGCCGAAGCAGGCGACTGACTTCGAGGGGCTGTGATGGGCAAATCCGACTTCACCGGTCGTTGAAAACACCTCAGGGCGCTGAAAACGAGGGTCCCATCATGTCCCATCCTCTCACCAGACGTATGAATGGATATGGGTGTGTCTGAAAATAGTGTACCCCTAAACCCAATGGTTAATGATCATTATCCCTATTAAATGGCTATAGTTGGGAATATACCCTATTTTCAGACAAACCCATGTGGAAATATAATGAAATATATGGAAATGGGATGCTAAGGAGATAGCGTTCCAGCAAGCCATGTTTGAGTACCAGAGGGTATCTTAAGGTTCGTTTCTTCAAAACAAGCTGGAAAAGGAGTGACGGATGTTTTTTTCTCACAGGTACAGTCTGTACAGTCCACTTGCTAGCGGCCAATTCCCGAAAAATGATAGAAACAAAATAGGTATCATAACACAGAAAAGCCACAGGAATGGCAAATGAATTCTCATCGCTGGCTTCTTGGTCTTCGCGTTGGAGTCCTCCAGTGTTTCGTCCAGAAGAACCTTCCAGCGGTTCAGGCGTCGCAGGCGTTCGATCAGGGCAGGTGGGTTGCGGATCAAATTGTCGGCCAGGAAAAAGGTGACCAACCTTGCTGCTGATCCCCCAGAAAACACCAGAAATGGGTTTCATAAACCATCCCAAAACCATTTTTTTTACTATCAAAGTCATTCAAAGTCTATGTGGGATAAATATGGATTGATAAAGCCATCCAGTCCCAAAGTTAGGTTAAAAATCCATGTGGATGATGGTCTACGGTCTACGGCTTAAAACACATCCAGCAACTGTGACGAAGTCTCCAAAGATGAGAGCAAGGAAAAGCTGCTGCTATCATCCAGGGAATTGGAGGAAATATCCAAGGTGCGTAGTCCATCAGCGTTGTGAAGAAAATCTTTGAGGACTGCGGTAGACCTCAAGGGTATCACCCTGCTGGAATGGATTTGGGTTGGGTGACCAAAAACCAATATCCATGGTGTCCCTGGGACCCTTGGACCCTCAAAAATCTGCTTTGATGCACCCCGAACATCCCAACCCCCCCACTTTCACCAACCTCGTCCTAACCTCCTCCTGACCCTGGCCTCTGGGTGATGTTGTTGGCAGCCAAATACAGCCGTTCCACCTTCAGCTCCAAGGAACGCAGACATTTCAACAACTTCTCCAGCTCCTCGTCACCCAGCCCCGTGCCACGAAAGTCGGCCCAGCAGCACAGTGGGGCTCTGACGGACAGCGCTTGCTGGACTAAGGAGTCGGGCATCAATAACCATTGCAGCAGAAGATCCAGGGACTTCTCCTCTGAAAATTCAGTGCGAAAAGTTTGAGGTTTAGCGGGAGATGGTAAAACATGGTAACACATGGTAAAACCCATCTATCCAATCCCAAAAACACTTCCCCAAACATCTAAGTGTTTTTGCGAAAAACATCCATTCAGAAAACCTCCGCAAAATTCCAAGTGATTTGAATATGTGGATGGGTCGTTTGTTACCCATGAAACTACCATATGACTGGGGGAATCAACGTCCATTAACCAGCTACTAAAAGGGTACCGTTTGGAGGGTTTGGACCCATGACGATACTGTGGATGGGCCAGCGAAATCCTGCACCAGCTGGTTTCCATGGTTTATCCCATTCCAATCCCATTATTTACACTATTTCATAGTTACCTAAGAGTTGCCAACTGGTGCAGGATAGCTTCTCCATCCACAGTATGAATATGGAGGTTTCCATAGTCAAGGGGCTACCCCAATAGTTTTTTATTGTTTCTTTCATCATCTCATGGAAAATCCCATCTATATATAGTCATCTATAACTGGATTATAAGTGGGGGTACCCATGTTGATTTCAGAACATTTCCATGGAAAATCCCCATGGTCTTTTGGGGTACCCCCAGCCATTCGGAAACCGTCCATCTGTATCACCCCCTCCTCCAAGCGGAAACCTCCAAAGACCAGTTCGAGGCGATGTGGCTCCGTCCGTTCAGCTTTCCGTCGGAGAACGCGCACGCGAGAGCGCAGCCAGTCTGGATCCATGGCGACGGCGCCACTCCATTGGAAGCTGTGGAAAGTGATGGGGAAATCAATGGAAAAATAGAAAGGACATAGGGCAACAGCTGTTGAGTTACCCTCTGGTAAACTAACATAACTATGGAAAATCACCATTTTCAATGGGAAAACTCACTATTTCTATGGCCATTTTCAATAGCTATGTCAGTCATTACCAGAGGGTACTGGCAGATATGTCAAAACTGATCGATTTGTGGGAATTGATATCCGACCAGTTGAGGTCCAAGATTTTTCATGCACTGGGGAAGGAATTGCATTAGGTCTTCCATATTTTTGGTCTGCAAGACTGAAAGCTCTTGTTGACACTGAACTTGTTTTTCTGCTGTAGTATGTCGGATGTCAGTCTGAACAGCTTGGACAGGCTTGCACTTGGGCAGGAAGCTAAGGGGCAAGCAAAGTCTCTTGGTCAACTGAAACCAGATACTGAAACCAGGTACAGAAGAGTGTCAAAAAGATCCTGTTTCCCTGGATCTAGGTTTATTGCTGGGTTGAAAATAAGCTGGGCCCCAAGTCCACTGAAGTCTGTCATCATCTTCCGCGCTTGGAGGATCATCGATCGATGAAAGGTGGAGACCAAGGGGTCTATTTCTGTCCCCATGAAAGGTGGTGACTATCCCATCTATAGATGCCTTATCATCTCACTTTTTTTAAGTGGTTCATCACCTTATTGGTCAGTCCTGGGAGTATCCCATTCAGTGGCTTATCCATGCTTATTTTTCATCAATGGAGGTTTCCAATCCATGGGGGTACCCCTATCATCCATGTTATTTTCGGATTTTCCCTTATAAATCAACCATCCAGCGATTTGGGTATCCCCATGACGAGCTGGAAACCACCATCTTTTCCATAGTTTTTTGTATGTTTGATAGGATGGTTAACACCCCACAAAGAACCCCAAGAAAAATGGTTAACCAGGTCCCATATGGTGGGCACATCATGGCACATCTTGGGCAAATGGGCAAATGGGCCCTCCGGCTTTCCACAGCCGGGCGGGCCATGTAAGAGATAACCTCTGCGGTAGGGAATTCCACGATCCAAATACCTCCGCAGAGTTGCAGGACGCCGCGAGATTTCATGAGATGGACATATCATGGGCAAAAAAATGTCTCATGGGAATATCATGGGAATATCCCAAGTATATTATGAATATATAGCCCATTATATTCATGGAAATAAAGGGATTATAATGGGAATATCATGGAAATATCATGGACATATGCTTGGGATATGATGGGAATATACTGATATCCCCTTTGGTTATTTAACAGTTTGCCATGGAAGCCATTGCCCAGCTATAGATGATAAAAATGATGACCCAGTTATTTCTCATCATAATGAATGGAGGTGCCATTGGTTATTGATGATTACCATCAACCATTAAAATAGTGATATTCAAATGACCATCAACCATTAAATAGTGATAGTTATGTATCATTAAATAGTGATAGTTAATTACCATCAACCATTATTTACCTAGTATTTTTATAGTGATTTTCCAAAGGTTAAATGAATAATGGTGATGGTAATTAACTAGTAAATGAATATCACTATTTTAATGGTTTATGGAGAAATACTTTAGTACTTTTAATGGTGATTTTCCACTTCGCAGAGCGTTAAATAACCAAAGGGATCCGCTGGAACGGTCGCTGGTCCCAGGTGGAGCACCACTGCTGGCTCTGTAGGAAGTCTTGAAGATCAGCATGGACCTGGTCATGTGAAGGCAATATTTTTTACGGCTACAGGAAAACATCATCTTAAAAGTTTTATGATGATTTATGTATATTAAATCTGGAGTTTATTGGAGATTATGTTTAACCATAATGGTTAATGACCATAATAACCATCTGTTAATAACCATAATAAGCATAACAATATTATTAATAACCATAATATCCATCTGAAATGCTGGTCTCAACATGTGCCAACCCTCAATGTTAATCATCATGTATGGAGGAAACATGAGGAAACTATCATGAATTATGGAGAAATACCATCAAATTGTATATAAATCTGTGGATTTCATGTGACAAGATCCTTGAAACGACGTGACACAGCTGTGACTCAAGCGAGTAGTTGTAAGGTTCCACATACCAAGACAGGCATTCCAGGACCCAGTCCTCCGAAGCGGAAAGAAATTCATGGGCTGTTTGGTTAAAATAGGTGCTTCTATTTTGGTGGCCTCATGAGATCTCATGAGTCGCTTTAAGTTTCTATCTTTGGATGGTGTCATTTTCTCAGTCTGAAAGGAGCAATGAAATATGCGGAGGATGGACTCTGAAAAAAGGGACACCGACTTCTGAGTCTTGGCTTTCTACATTCATATTTGCTGAAGGCTAAGAATCCCTGGCGGAATTCGTCATATTCATTTTGCAAAGCCCTCAGATATGAGCCACCTGGCAGATCGGATGGCCTGATCTGCGACTCCAGTGTCCAGAACCACCGAATCAAACGGCCTGGCAGTTGCCACCCACATCAGCTGGGCAGCTGGTCGCAAAAAGGGCTGAGTTGGCGCCTGATTCTCTTGGGGGTTCCGAAAGGTCGCCATTCATGACCGTAACACCTCGGGAACGCTTGAGGCCTGCAGTTTTCGGCCAAATTTTGTCCAATGGTCCTTCGATAGCCATCCTGAGAAGTTGCTGGTACAACAAATTGCCAACATACTTAGCGTATTGCTTGTGATGTCCCAAATAGTCATGAAAACTACTTGAGACCTCTGGTGAATTATGTGAATTTCAGCTAAATTCGTTCAGAAATTCTGCCAGTGAATTCACCATAAAGACTGACCCTCAAATTTCACCAAGGTTTTGGACCATTCCCATATCATCACTTGGCCGCAGGCTGATAGATGATGGTCATCCCTTCCTCTCGAGCTAAAGCTGCCTCTTTGGCCTCTGCTAAGATCTCTTGAAAGACGTTGGGTCTCAGCCTTGGCACGTCACGGCCAAGCCAAGCCTCATGTGGATTCAATGTATGGGTGTGTTTTAAAAATGGTTAGACCTAAATGATCAAAGTTAGGGTGTGTTTTTAGAAATGGTTACCCAATGTTACCCGTAAAGTTTGTGGTTCAGAATTTGTCTTTCCCACTGTGTGATTGCCATTTTGTGTATATAATATATATATATATTATATCCATCATTTTCGGTAAACCCAAATTGGCTATAGTCGCTTGTATTTCCCACTAGTATCGCATTGTATGTTCCGTCGTCACAACATTGTGTATGTGGTATGGTCATACACCCTACTGTATCACTAGGAAAGCCTCGAAAAGACAAAAATAGTACAGTTTATATAAATCTCTATGAAAATTGATTGTTGACCATCCCCTTTTATGCCAGGAAAACAGAAACAAACCATGATTTGACGATTTGCGCACATGGATGTTAATTACCAACTCAATCATATGAAATAACCTAGATAGCTATATAGTCATATATGTATACATCATCTGTGTTTATTTAGCTACATTTGGGGATACTATGTATACAATTATAAATCAATTATATACAGATATAGTTACAGTTGCATTACATATCTATGGATTTCCAGGAAAACCATCCCGGCGAGACGCGCCGAGACGCGATAGAGCTGTCAATGTGAGCGTTTCCCACGGAGCTCCAGTGGACATGTCCACCGTTTTGGTCTCACGGCAACTTATGAAAACGGTGTGAGGGGTGGGCTCTCAAAAACCATAGGAAAATGGAGGGTTGAATGGGAAAACCATAGGAAAACCATAGGAAAACCATAGGAAAATGGAGGTTTACACCCTCTGGTAAACAGCTACATAACGAACTGGAAAGATCCACCATTTTGTATGGGAAAATCCACTATTTCGACTGGGCCATTTTCAATAGCTTTTTGTATGTTTACCAGAGGGTAAGGATTTAAGCAACAAGGGTGACATTCAACGAATTGGTGTTGGCGGGAAAATCTACAGTGTGGATTTACCTATCATCAATCTAGAATCTAGGGCATTGGGGGATTTAATTCAACTAATTGATGTTGGAAGATCTACAGGAAACCAGGGGAAAATGCAATGAAAATACATATCATCTTCTGGAATAATTATATCCAAGAAAACATGCTACACTTCTGAAGCTCTCCCCAAATCATCCAAAGCTATATTTGTTCATGGTTGAATCGGATCATGAAATCTCTGGTCTCTGAACAGTTCAAAAATTTGATAGCCAACCATAGCCGACAAATCATTCTCAGGCGTTTGGAGTCGAAAAACTGACGAGTGTGATTGAAACGAAGGCTGTCCAACAGAACCCATCTCTCTTTCTCGGTATCACAAAGCCAATCATGCCCTGTGATCCTGCCTCTCTCAAAAACAGCTACAAAGTTGCAAACTGATCTTGGACTGAAGAGCTGTCACCCCCAGAACCTGCACGGCCCCAGGTAACGACTGATCCATCTGCCAGGATGGCAGCAAATGCATTTTGTGTGACCTGAACCTGCTGCACGCCCCTCAACTGATCTTGGACTGCAGAGCTGTCGCCACCACCATCTGGTCTACCCCAGGTAACGACTGATTCATCGGCCAGGATGGCAGCAAATGCACCGTGTGTGGCCTGAACCTGCTGCACGCCCCTCAACTGATCTTGGACTGCAGAGCTGTCACCCCCAAAACCTGAATGGCCCCAGGTAACGACTGATCCATCTGCCAGGATGGCAGCAAATGCAAGCCTTGTGGCCTGAACCTGCTGCACGCCCCTCAACTGATCTTGGACTGCAGAGCTGTCGCAACCACCTTTTTGTCTGCCCCAGGTAACGACTGATCCATCTGCCAGGATGGCAGCAAATGCATACCATGTGGCCTGAACCTGCTGCACGCCCCTCAACTGATCTTGGACTGCAGAGCTGTCGCCACCATCCTGGGGTCGCCCCAGGTAACGACTGATCCATCTGCCAGGATGGCAGCAAATGCACTTTGTGGACCTGAACCTGCTGCACGCCCCTCAACTGATCTTGGACTGCAGAGCTGTCGCCACCACCATCTGGTCTACCCCAGGTAACGACTGATTCATCGGCCAGGATGGCAGCAAATGCACTGTGTGTGGCCTGAACCTGCTGCACGCCCCTCAACTGATCTTGGACTGCAGAGCTGTCGCCACCACCATCTGTTCTACCCCAGGTAACGATTGATTCATCGGCCAGGATGGCAGCAAATGCACCGTGTGTGGCCTGAACCTGCTGCACGCCCCTCAACTGATCTTGGACTGCAGAGCTGTCGCCACCACCTTTGGGGTCGCCCCAAGTAACGACTGATCCATCTGCCAGGATGGCAGCAAATGCAGCTTCTGTGGCCTGAACCTGCTGCACGCCCCTCAACTGATCTTGGACTGCAGAGCTGTCGCCACCATCTTCGGGGTCGCCCCAAGTAACGACTGATCCATCTGCCAGGATGGCAGCAAATGCATACCATGTGGCCTGAACCTGCTGCACGCCCCTCAACTGATCTTGGACTGCAGAGCTGTCGCCACCACCTTTGGGGTCGCCCCAAGTAACGACTGATCCATCTGCCAGGATGGCAGCTAATGCACCGTGTGTGGCCTGAACCTGCTGCACGCCCCTCAACTGATCTTGGACTGCAGAGCTATCGCAACCACCTTTTTGTCTGCCCCAGGTAACAACCCTGTCGCCTCCAATGCACAACAAGGCAAAGGCTCCTACTCCAGTTGATTGGATCCTTGCTTGAAGTGCAACAGCACTAATGTGGTCTCTGCCTTTCAGCGCAGCCTGCAGTGATTCTTCGGGATTCAAGACATGGCCGTCACTGATCAGCCTCAGAAAGCCTTGACCAAAAGACTTCTGGGCCAAAATCTTCACATCCTTCATTTTGGATGACTCTGGAAGTGAAACGACTTCATTGCGACCGCTTGGCAAAGCAATCTGGACTTGGAGCATCCAATTTGATTCCTGGTAGAGGAAGAACAATGTATCTTGAGCCAATCTGAAGATACACAGCGTCCTTCAAATATCGATGCAATCCGATACTTCAATAAATGCATCACTGTGGCTGAAATCAGGAAAACATCCATACTATTCATAGTATTACTAAGAATCGAGTGTTCCTGCCATCATCCATAAACTCTCATGGAAACACCATGGATTTCCAGGCTCAGATCCGACCCAGACCCAGATCCTCTGCACAGAACATATTCGAACAATGACCTTCAAGACCCAGAATTCATCAATCTAGCTATATAGTGAAGATGTGTTTACAATAACATTCATCTACATGAAGGTTTCTCCAGCTATCATAGGTGTCCCCAGCTATCTTCCAGTCGTTAGACCAGCGCCAGCTGTGCTCCCGGAAGCCTCTCTAGCTCGGTCCACGAGGATGAAATTGCCCCGCCACCTGGGCGTTTTGCTTCTCTAAGTGTAAGATATGGTGAATGGTGAATGTAACTAAGTTATATATATATAATTAGCCATTAAACTTGGTCATTAGAGTTTGTAACTAAGTTGGCAATCAAAATTAGTAACTCAAGTTAGGCATTAAAGTTGGTAACTGAGTTGGTGACCAGGTTCAAACTCAGTCACATACATAGGATAGCCGGACATAAAAACTGCCGCTGTTTGAAGCTCCGACCACAGTGGTTTGTCCCCAGCGAGGAGCTGAAACATGCCACCAAAGCCCGCAAACCATTCTGTCGCGATCAAATTTTAGTCAATGATCTTCTAAGAATTGAAGGGGTATGGGATATAATGGGATAGTATCTGAGATAGTATCTGGGGGTATAATCGTATATGAATGGTATATGAATTATCCAAGAAGTTCCAAAATTTAGGTTTTTGCTAACTCCCAAAGGGAAAAACCGTCATCTTGCCCACGACCCAAAGGGAGTTCCCATGGCGGACCTCACCCAATGCCGTCCAGGGCTGGGGATGAAGTCAAAAGCTGCCTGGACCGTTTAGAACTTGCAATAAGAACTGTAATGTGTACATATATATATATATATATATAATTATGTATACTTATATATATATATATAATTACATTACATATACATACATATATATATATAATATTTATACAGTATACATACATACCATATCATATACTGGATATTGTATGCGTCCAACTGACTTATTTCTTGTCAAATTACATCATCTTCCAGGTGCAATGTGTTGGAGCTATTGCCTCGCGGTGACCCAGGGCCCGCTGAAGTCACCAATCCCCTCCCAGCAATATTTACTACCACAGACTACCCTCTGGTAATTTAACATTAGCTATGGAAAATCACCATTTTTAATGGGAAAATCCACTATTAATGGTCATTTTCAATAGCTACGTTAAATTACCAGAGGGTAGCCGGTCAAGCCATTAATCGGAAACTAAAACCCGTTAATCGGAAACTAAAACCCGTTAATCGGAAACTAAAACCTGTTAATCGGAAACTAAAATAATCGGAAACTAAAACCCGTGAATCGGAAACTAAAACCCTTGAATCGGAAACCAAAAACCCGGAATCGGGAACCAAAGCTGAATCGTAAACTAAAGCAGGTGAATCGGAAACTAAAACCTGTTAATCGGAAACCAAAAGAATCGGAAACTAAAACCTGTTCATCAATCCTATTGAGCATAGTGGCCAGAGGGGGTGGCGGATTTGATGTCTTATGAAGGTAAGTTGAAGTTAATATCCTATTCAACATAGTGGCCAGAGGGGGTGGCGGATAATTTCCTTTGAAGTGAAGTAGAAGGTAATATCCTATTCAACATAGTGGCCAGAGGAGGGTGGCGGATTTGATTTCCTTTGAAGTGAAGTAGAAGGTAATATCCTATTCAACATAGTGGCCAGAGGGGGTGGCGGATTTGATTTCTTAAGAAAATATGTTGAAGTTAATATCCTATGTAGCATAGTGGCCAGAGGGGGTGGCGGGTTTGATTTCTTATGAAGTGAAGTAGAAAGTAGTATTCTATTCAGCATAGTGGCCAGAGGGGGTGGCGGATTTGATTTCCTTTGGAGTGAAGTAGAAGGTAATATCCTAGTCAACATAGTGGCCAGAGGGGGTGTCGAATTTGATTTCCTTTGAAGTGAAGTAGATGGTAATATCGTATTCAACATAGTGGCCAGAGGGGGTGGCGGATTTGATTTCTTATGAAGATAAGTTGAAGTTACTATCCTATTCAACATGGTGGCCAGAGGAGGGTGGCGGATTTGATTGCCTTTGAAGTGAAGTAGAAGGTAATATCCTATTCAACATAGTGGCCAGAGGGGGTAGCGGATTTGATTTCCTTTGAAGTGAAGTAGAAGGTAATATCGTATTCAACATAGTGGCCAGAGGGGGTGGCGGATTTGATTTCTTATGCAGATAAGTTGAAGTTAATATCCTATTCAACATAGTGGCCAGAGGGGGTGGCGGATTTAATTTCTTTTGAAGTGAAGTAGAAGGTAATATCCTATTCAACATAGTGGCCAGAGGAGGGTGGCGGATTTGATTTCTTAAGAAGAGAAGTTGAAGTTAACATCCAATGTAGCCTAGTGGCCAGAGGGGGTGGCGGATTTGATTTCTTATGAAGTGAAGTAGAGGGTAATATCCTATTCAACACAGAGGGGGTGGCGGATATGATGTCTTATGAAGATAAGTTGAAGCTAATATCCTATGTAGCATAGTGGCCAGAGAGGGTGGCGGATTTGATTGCTTATGGATAAGTTGAAGTTAATATCCTGTGTAGCATAGTGGCCAGAGGGGGTGGCGGATTTGATTTCTTATGAAGTGAAGTAGAGGGTAATATCCTATTCAACATAGTGGCCAGAGGGGGTGGCGGATTTGATTTCTTTTGAAGTGAAGTAGAAGGTAATATCGTATTCAACATAGTGGCGGATCAACATAGTTTCTGATTTTCTGGTTTTGGTTTCTGATTCGCGGTTTTTGGTTTCTGATTCGGGGGATTTTGGTTTCTGATTCGCGGGAGTTTGGTTTCTGATTCGCGGCTTTTAGTTTCTGATTCTTTGTTTCTGATTCGCGGTTTGTTCGAGGGTAGCCCTCATGGAATGTATTGGCTCTATCCAATTCTATTCATGGCATGTCATGGCATGTCATGGCCAGGCTGGGCACCATTCGAGCACCATACAACACCGATCGAACAACATCCGGGGCCCTGGCCATTTGTCTTCCAGCAGCGTCCTGCCAGGCGATGCTGCCAATGGGCCCACCATTCAAAGCACCAAATTCTGCGGTAAAGTCATCTAGTACATCTCGCATACACAGCAGAGTTTACATCATATTAAGGTTTCAAAAAAAAAAGTGAATATCCCCAGTGATCATCCATTTTAAACTTACTGGTGCTTGGCAGGGAATTTTCGGGAATGATCCACAATAACTATTAGTAATCATCCCAGCAACCCCCATTCCCATCCATTCCCTACGTTTAGCACCAGTAAGATTATAACTATACCCATCATATCTCCAGTACCCTCTGGTAAACTAACATAACTATGGAAAAAAAAACAATCTTTAATGGGCAAATCCACTATAAATGCCCATTTTCAATAGCAAACTGTTAGTTTACCAGAGGGTAACTAGATAGAAATAGTGAGTTTGTCCCATGGAAAATTGTGATTTTCCATTTAAATAACGGCCATTTTCCATGAAATAAACCATCCATGCCCTCGGCAGCCGCGGCCTTGCTGTAGGTGGTTTCCACCCCCAGATGCCGTGATCCGTGGATTCGGTTGGCCACCATCCACTGCATCACCTGAAACCGTGGTTAAGACCGACGAAACATATCGAGTGAATGGAATTGATGAGATTTTATCCAAAAAAAATGTTATAAAAAAACTGGTTAAAACGATATGTTATGATATTTCACCAAAAAATATATATAAAACTCTTTGGAACTGGGTATTATCAGTTTGATTGAGCCCACTTTTTAAAAGATCGTATATATGTATGTAGCGAAGTAGATTTTACAATGCACTAATGTCACAATGTCCCAAGCCATTATTCTGCATCACCCCGATCTGTCAACATGTTGTGACCAAAACTGAGATCTGTCCCCATCAATAGTCACCATCAGTTACCTTAGTATTTCCCGCATCCCCAAGTGGTAGGTTTATGGCAGGTGAATCCCATGGGTGAATCCCATATGACCTGCCAAACTTTTTTCAAAAACCTGAGGTCTGAACCCATTGGTATGCATAGTCTTTGGAGGGAATCTCCAAGGACATCAGCATCTGGCGGATGCAAAATGACTCAAAATGATGGAAAACTGCCGGGAAATCCGAGAGAAGATGGCTAAAAAAAATCCCCAAGTCCCCGAGTCGGCTGCTGGGCGGTGTTTTGTAGGGAAAATTATCGATGTATGGCGATTGATGAGGATTTTCCAGCAAACCATGAGTTCCATGAGTGGGTACATCTCGGTTGTTTTTTGAAAAAACCAACTGCTTGGGATTTGGGTGCCCCCGAGGTTGCTGCTATATGCACCCCACACACAAAGATTGTGTTGGAAATGTCAGACCCTCCAGGCTGTTGGATGAATAAATTGAGGCTTCGGTGTGATTCAACCGTCATACCGAGTCATACCATAAGTGGGTCAAAGCTCTTCCATCGTTATGTATGCCAAACTGGTTCGACATGGTTAACTCTCCTATTCTCTTGGCAATGCCCCGTCTTAATATACGGAAATGAGTATTGACCCAGGACCAATTTCTCCAGTAATCTCGCTCAAAATCATCTAAATACCCATCTACAATCATTGAAATTCCAAAAAGAATCCAAAAAAAAATCCAAAAAAACTCCCAAGTTTTCAGACAAACAAATGTCGAACACTCCATTTTTTGGCAGCGGGACCCCCAGTTTTCCCCAGAAAATTCCCAAGTTTTCGGATCCTCGAGAGAGACAAATCCGCGCCTGTCGGCGGAAGGCCACCTCCGCCAAACTGGCGCCTCTCGAGAGAAAGCTCATGGCGGCACCTGGGATTCATGGGATTGGATGATTTATGGATGATTTATGGATGATTCATGGATGATTCATGGATGATTCATGTTGAAGGATTATATAATCATAAATCATGAATCATCCATAAATCAGCCATAAATCATGATGATATCACTATCGTGAATGGTATATTTATCCGCTTCTCCGGCTAGATGGATTGATAAATGGTTTGAAAAAATGATATGATTATATAATACCATTGATATGTACTTAATATTATGCATCATGAATATGGATAATGAATACAAATCAGTGATAATATTTGTGATGGTAATATCAGTATTCATGATGGTATTATTATTCATGGATGGTACTATCAGTATTCGTGATATGGATTGTATTAATATGCATGATAATGGATGTGTTAATTCATGGATGGTATTCTATTACCATATTCTGATTCTGATTATTCATATTATCATGGCAATATGATGATGGATATTCATATGGATAATAATATGAATATATAATATTGAACGGCTGTTAATAATCATTACTGGATATTGAATGAATATAATGGTTAAGAATGGCACGATGATAATGATTAACCATTGAAAAAATGGTTAATAGTGGTTAGTAGTGGACTAATGGACGATCATATATTGATTAATACTGATTAATAATAGTTGTGAATAATGAACATAGTAGATTGATTATGATTGTATTTTACAAGGTCAGCCAACAATGTGGTATATTACCAATGGGGTGACCTACAAGCCGCTAAGCACTTGGCACTGTTTTGAACCAACGCTACAGAGTAGTACGATGATATGTACAATACATGGTTTTACTGCAGGAGTTTTTACACCCCCCTCGGGCGAGCAGGGACGACTGCGGAGAACGAATAACCCAGAAGAGCATACCCTTGCGGGTAGCCAAATCTGTTTGTTTGGTTTTGGACATTTTGTGCAGTCTTTCAAAGGTCCCTCTAAAAAGCTCAAGCCCGTAAAACCCAGCGCAGCTTTGCAAGGAAGGCACATTACCATGCCACATCTTGCGCTATGCTACAAAAGAAAATCATCGTCTACCTGCGGTTCCAATAGATCCAACGGCCGCCGGCCTCGTCACGGTAATACCAAGCCCCACGCCAGAAACTCCATTCTCGACGTGCACCATAGTGATCACGATTCCAACTCCAAGAGGCATCCGGGCGACCGGAGCTTGCAGCCTTCGATGTGACTGTGCTTGCTGCTTTTGCAGTGGGCGGCGTCTCAGGCTCCAAGAATGGTCGTGCTCCTGCTTTGGATGTTGGTGGTTCGGGTGCAAGGAATGGTGCATTGTTGGGATCAACTGAGGCATCAGCGTGCGAGGCATCTGCGCGAGCAGAGCTTGAGGCGGCTGTGTCATCATTTGCAGTGGCGGATGCATCAGCTTCGGCTTTGCGCTTTCGCTCAATGGTGGGCGCGACCGTGGGGTCGGCCTTTTGACCTCCAGGACCTCCAGCCTTTGCAGCGGCGCTCTGCTTCTCTTTGCGTTCAAGGTTGCCCCGAACCAATGGAAGGTTTTCCTCATACAGCTTTTCGAGGAATTCAAGAGTGCCATCAAAAGGAACTTGGACGGTGCCCTTCCAGGTCAGCAGGCCACGGAATGCGCCACGACGGCCGATGTAGCTGACATATTCATCCTCTGTAAAAATGTGGCGGCCGAACATGAAACCCCAGGTTTTCTTCCATGTTTTTCGGAACTCAACTGGGAACCCTTCCACACCTCGAGGTTGGGACATGAAAATCAACTTTGATAAGCAGTTTTCATTTTGGGCATTGGCGGCGACGCCAGCCGAGATCTGAGCTTTGGTCCTGGGTGGATCGGGGAGGTTAGCGTATGCGAACATATCATCAAAGATACATTCCTGCAGGCCCTTCCCCTCCCCGTGGATGCGGTCGCAAAATGTGACGTCGCTGGCGAATCGATCTTCCACGTCCTCGTAGCCCAGCGCTTTTGCACGTCTATGCCTATCGCGGCAGTCTTTGAGGACTGCTGATTCCACGGATGTGATCCCCCTGGGGCCCAGTTCCCGGCGAAGAAGATCGGCTTGCTCATTTGTCAAAGCCGTCAACAAGCTGCCGCTCATTTTCCCAAACATTCCGAACCCGGCGAGACTCTGCATTCGCCGTTCAAGGATGCGGGTCCTCCTGTTGGGTTTGTCGGCCTCTTTTGTTTCGCCACTTTCATCCACTGGGAGTGGCTCAAATCCACATGTGGTACAAGTCACTTGGCCACTGACGTACTCGACCTGGCAGAGGGGGCAGGAGCCCATGAAAGGTTCGCAGTACTTTGGTGCAATGTAAACACGGCGCGCCCTGGCGGGCGGCTGGTCAACTTGCATTGGGGCAGTGGCTGCATCATCAGTGGATTTGGCATCGGGTCGCCCCGTGCTGGTGTCATCCATTGGGTCGTCATTTGCATCATCTCGGGCAGTCAGGGTGACCGCTCTGGATTTCGGTGCTGAGGCTGATTCCGCGCCTGTCCATGTGCTGGGCTCGAGATTGCTCTCGGCGCGGGACCAAAGCACCTGTCCATCTTCTGAGATGCTGACCAGAAACTGCGGTGGGATGCGTTCTGAACACAAAATACCATCCATTTCTGTGCGACTAAAGATGACACCAGCTTCAACTGCTTGCCGCATTGCGATTTTGACTTCGACTGGACATTTTGCTCTTAATCCAGATCGATATCCCTGTGTGCCGATACAGTGTTCTGCCATGTAGATATGAGCACGGCCACTGTTGACTGTGTCACCGCCGCCTGGGATCAGGCCGTTCTGTGCGATGCTCTTCCAGCTGCTTCTCATCGTGCGATGAAAAACAACTTCAGGGACCTCAGTCATGGCACACAAGGGCACGCCGGTGAAGGCGGCTTTTCGCTCGGGGGAAACTTGGTTTGAGCAATACACCATGGTTGAGTTGGCATAGAGGCCCCCGGCGGAACTCAAGGCAGCTTGGGAATGACCCTGAATTGCACGGATTTTCACAGGATAATACGGCATGCCTAGGCCATTGTCGACAGGGAAATGGGAGATCTTTGCACACAAGAATTGGAACCTACTCTTGCCATGCTTGTCGATCTTCATTGCGGTGCCAAACAGGTTTGCTACGGTGATGAAAACATCTGGGGGCACTTCCTTGCGGAAGGCTTTGGCAAAATCCTCCAAGTCGATCCAAAGGTCTTTGTCCATTGGCACCTTGGCACAGGATCCATGCCCCCTGCAAACTTTGTTGACACGGGTTGCAAAATCGGAGAATTTCTTGTCGACGCGAGTCTGGCCAGCAATGGTCTCAACGTCGGATGCCGATAGCAGTTCCAGTTCATAGGCCGTACCTTCAAAGAGGATCCCGGGCACATCTTCCCCGTCTGCATTGGTCACCATTGTATATTGGTATTCAGGCAAATGCTCTTCCATCCAATATGCTTTCACGTGGCCGGATGCATGTTCCTCTAAGCGCGCAGTTGCCTGCGGCTGGTACTGGCTGGATGTGGCTCTTTTGTCATCTGCGGGCTCATCCAATGGGACTGGTGCTGCTTTCGGTCGCGACTTCAACATGACCTCAGCCGTTTGGACCAGGATTGTTGCTCTGCTGGATTCAGCGGGCTCGCCGTCGCCGGCGGCCTTTGGAGGGTCATCTTTGGGAGGCTCAGCAAAAGTTCCAGAAGGCATCGTCTTGACGTCGATGTAGTCCTCGGTGTCTGGTTGTTGAGCTTCAACGTCCTCCTTGGTGAATGACCTGCCCGTCGGCGTGATGTGTCGTCGGGACTCTCCAAAAAGCAACTTGGTGATGTTTGCACATGTCTCCTGATAGGATCTTGGCAGCTCGTCGAGGACGGCGCTCATGTTCCTCCGCAAATCATCCCATGTTTCCTGGCCACACTGAGCAAGCTCCAAACCAATTCGGCCAACCCGCCATCCGCAGTCAATAGCGAACAATGTCGCTGTCCAATAAGCGGCGAGACGCGTGCGATTTTCTTCAGAGTTGGGGAAATGCCACTGGTCTCTGAATTCCATCGCATCGGCGTACCCCTTCGCACGCAGCCACGGATACTTCGGATTGGCAAGCCCTTGCAGGCTGCTGGTTAGAGCTTTAAATCTTGGCTCCAATGCATCAAAGAACTGATCAAAGATAGGATGGATGCCATAGTCAGCGGACCAAGGCGCGGTCGTGAGACCGGCCGATTGCAAATCCAACTCCCGGGCCTTGTTGACAAACCAAGTCAAATGGCGCTCACAATCATCCAGGATCGTGGGCCAGTGCCCGTTGGGGCCGTCGTACGGCCAATTTGGATTTTGGGCAATCCCATCCTCACCTACCAATTCATTTCCGAACCAGGACAAATGCAGGTTGATGCGGGCATCAGGATAGCGCTCGCGGGCGTCCGCGGCCAATTCAATCCCACGTTTGACCAACTTCTGCAGAGTTTTGCCCCAAAGCATCTCATGGATAAACTCAGTCACATACTTAGGTTTACGCTGCCGGTAATGCTCGGACAGGTCAAACTTCTTAAGTGTTTTCCTACGCCCTGTGATCAGTGCACATGACGAGTCAGAGACTAAGATCCAGATTACTTGATTGACAGGCATCTCTGGCAACATGATCTTTTCGATGTGGGACTCCTTTGGCAAAAAGCAGAAGCTAAGGTATTCTGCAAGCGGATCCTCTCGACCGTAGAACCTCAGGGCCGAGGCCGGCGTCCATTCGGTCATCAATCCATCCACGAGGTCCTGAGCAACCTGATTCTCACCTTCATTGCGCATGGCCAATGCAAACAAAATGCGATTGTGAAGGAGCAACCATGCTTCTTTGTTAGCCTCACGTGTGGCTTCGAGCGCAGCCTCGCGGCTGGCCGGGTGTGCTGTGGCAAATCGCGAGTCAGCCATTTTAGCAGGACAGGCACGAATGACAGCGGGTGAAATCCTTTTGGATGTTTGGCCCACCACAGCTACCCGGAAACACTCATGGAGCATGTCGGTCAAC